GCAGGCCTCGGTCGCGATCGGTGGCGGTAGTAGCTTTTCGGCGAGATCGTCGGCGGTGGACAGCGGCACATGGCTGAGGAAGATGACCGGAATTTATGATGCTTTGGGGTTTGATAAAATATCACCTTAAAGCCTTCTAATGAATTACCTAAACACCTAATTCAATTAATCTTGGTGGAACAATTAATTGAATTTCCCAAACCCTTAATCAAGACAATTTTTCTCTCCTAAGAAGAAGGATAAATCGAGTAGCACTAGTCTTGTACAAGAGGTTGGGACATTGTGTATTTATAGGCTTCATTAGGGACCTTAAGGAGGTGCCAAATATGGGCTTATCCCATTAGGCCAAGGAATCTTAATTCTACTCCATAAACTAATCCCAACTAGGTCATGATTCCTTTCTCCTAACATCACCTTCTAGAAGACTCTCAAGTCTCCTAACCCTAGGTAATATTTAGAAGGAATATTCCCTATCTCATGGAATATTAAATATGAAATAAAATTAATTCCTAAAATCCAAATAAAATTAAATAATAATATATCCCACTAGAATATTATTATTGCTCTCCCCATTTGGTTCCAATTTAATCAATTAAATCAAACCTCCACTTGATTAATATTTATTAATCTGACTTATTGATTTACCTCCCCATGTTTAAGATATAACGTCCGTCGATTAATTAAATTACTGACAAATTAATTAATCAACGCTTTATTCATTTCCAAAATTAGTACCACTCAGATCTTTAATCATTATGTCGGATACTCATCCACCTGCAGGGTTTAACATAATATTCCTTCCTGAGCTCATTTCGGCGACGTCATCAACCCAGCGCACTGGGACACAGTTACTGTAAATAATTTATAATAGCATACTATATAAATATTCTTACTTACCAAAATACCGAGTATGTCATCCTAACATAATAGGAATCACCCTTGGTAAATCAAATAAATAAGTAATAAATATATATGCCTATTTTATATTATCTTACAGCTTTAGAGAACGCATCAATCACTGAAGGTCTAGATTACAACAACGGTCAGTGGATCTCGTAATCTTATCCTTTCGTGGTCCTGTTCAATACTTAACATAAGTACTAGTGTAGTCCTCCAGTTAAAGGTCAACTGAATCAAGAATACCCTACAGTCTTTTTACAAGTGGGGTCTCACTGCCAGTTTAGACTGTGAACAAATGATTTAGTCTTACAAGGAACCGATGGGTGACCTTACTGTTCGAGACACCACGAACCATACTATCTCAATGTAAGACAAGGAGTATGATTGCATAAATAAATAAACTGCAAGCATATGTACTTTGACTAAAACGCAATTGCCAGATCAAAATGGTATTATTATTATCTGAAAGCCAAGCTTTTACAGCATATCTAACAATTATAGTATGAGGTACATGCTGGAGAAGCTCCTCCCCTCCATTTGTTCCTTCAGACGTAAAGAGTGTGGAGTAGAACTTTGTAATGTGATTCTGGATGGCATTTTTAGTATCATAGATCTGACCTCCATTTGCAATTAGTCTCTAGATTGTGTTATTCTTCCTCCTCTGGGAGGTATAAGCATGGAAAAAAGGAGAATCACAGTCCCCCTGTTTGAGCCACAATGTCCTGGATTTCACTCTCCAATATTCCTCCTCCTCTTTATGGGCACAGTCAAGTTCAGCTTTTAAGTTACTCCACAGCTCCCAATCTCTATCTTGGCCTTCAATTCTCATGTTCTCTAGCTGATCATTGAGAACTTTCACCACCTTCTCACTATTCCTATGAACTGGTTTGTGCCAAGCTAGTAAGGTCATTCTAGTGCTCTTGATTTTTTGCTGAACTTGATACATTAAGGACCCTGCAACTGCCATCTGCCATCCTGATTGGACTACGTCATGATTTCCCTCCCTTTTCAGCCAGGAATTGTCAAATTGAAATCTTTTCTTTTTTGATCCCCACCCACCTCAGTATCAAAGAAAATCACATTGTGGTCTGAAGATGATCTGAAGAAGTTGGAGCCGTTCATCTGTGGAAAATTTAACAAAACACTTTGTCTAGTCTTTCTTCCACATACCCATCAGCAGCTCTATTATTCACCCATGTAAAGAAAGCACCACTCTGAGCTACTTCCTGCATTTCCATATTCTCAATGAAGCTGTTAAAGCCCTTGAAACTGGATTCATGTCTTCTTACTCCACCCCTCTTTTCCTCATTACAGGTGATGTCATTCCAGTCCTCAGCGATCACCCAACAACTGCCCTAGCCAAGTTTACTCCTCTCCAAAAACTCCCACTGCCTCACTCTGATTGATTTGTCAGTGCTCAGGTAAACAAACACCATCCAACACTACTCTCTAATTCCTGCCCCCTTCACCTCCATTTGGATGCAAAATTCATTTCTAATAATCTGTCTCACCTCAGAGTCTAAGTCCCACATAACCAATAATCCACCTTTAGTCCCCACGGGCTGCTCAAGGTGCCATCTACTAGCAAATCCCAACTTTCTACATACAGTCTTAGTAAATTCCCTAGATTTTTTGGTCTCAGAAAGGAAAATTACATTTGGGTGGTGGACTCTTCTGGAGTCCTTGATTTGTCAACCATGTACAAAAAATAAATAAATAAACAGTAAGACTTGTTGGACATTCATATTTTTTTCAACATAGATGCATAATTTCACGTTGAAATATTATACCTCAAAAAATATAAACAAAATTATTTCAGGTCATAGTATACTTTATAGGGCAACTTCTATTAAAATCCCCAATCCCTTTTTTAACTTCCTTGTCAGTTCCTAGGTTGTTTTTTTTGCCTTTGAACTCCCCACCCCCTTAATTTGTTTCCTCTTAACTCCCTAATGTTAAAATAAATCAAACTAAAATAAGATATGACATCATCCCACTACAACATGCATTAAATATTATTTTATTAGTTTTCTCTCTCTTTCCACTACAATCATTTTTAGTTTTTTATTATTTTCAAAAGCATCGGGAGTTCAATTAGAAAACCTTTCTATATTGCCCATGTTCCTATGATATCCCAACCAGAAATATTAAGCTTTTGTTGTGCCATTGAGAAAGCTAAGCGCACCTGTACATCTCACCCAATTAGTCACTTTCTTTCATATGATTCAAAGTCTTTATATCATCTTTACTATTTATCTCTCATACTACTAATTTTTTTTTATTAATTAATATAAATTTATTTTTGTATAAACTAGCCAAATCAAAATAATTTATATTTTACTAATCTTTATTTCATAAAATTCTATATTATACTAAATCTATAAATCTATATCTTTGCCTTCAAATTTATCAACTAATTCTCTAAAATTAAATTATAAATTTTTAATTTTATTAAAAAATATTTATTCAAAGAGATATCTAATTTATCTAATTTTTAAGAGGAATATACAAACTAGTACGATACTCGTGTACTACACGGGTACGTAAATATATTAATATTTGTACAATAGAAAAATTAAAATAATTTATGTTTATATTGTAAAATTATATATAATGAATAACTAACAAAGTAATAATTAATTTAAAATGGAGTCCGCATTTTTGCACTTAATTTTCTTATTTTATTTAAAATCTATGATAAAATACATTAAATGATTATTTTATGGTGTATTACTGAATTAGATTTTTACTATATTTGTTATAAGATAATTTATGTTGTATTCATATTTTTGAAATTATTTTTTAATAAATATAGTTTTATTTATAATGATAGATGTAATTATTTTTTATTTTATATATACAATATGGATGTCAATCGAAAATCATTAAAATATGATTATTTTGAGATATAACATACAAAAATAAAAAAAAATAAAAAAATTATAAATATTCAAAAATAAAAAAGAATGCATTTTTATTATAACAATTAGTATATGAATTAAATAAGAAAGAATAAGAGTAGTATATGGTAACTTGAGAAAACAAAAACTTAAAATAGTTTATGCTAATTCTCAAGCCTAAAACTGAATATGTACATATATCAATACAAATCATATAATTATGCCAAATAAACTTTTGAAGCATATGAGCCTGCTTAGGATCAGAGCATTCAAATATTATATATAGAGGCGATTTATAAAATTATCATTAATATCTTATGACAAGTTATTATAGGAATATGCTAAAAATTGAGAATTATATCACCTTGATTTTATAAAAAATCAACCTAAAATTCGACTTTCATAAATATACCAATAAAATTCATACCACTTATTTTATTTTCAAAATTAAATACAATTCTATCCATACCAAATGGAATTCATTTCATTTAAATTTGGACATTTCATTCCAAAATAAAATCGCCCACATTTTATTAATCATAATACTCAACATTATTTTATTCTAAAATTTAGTGTCCTATAATATTAACTAAAATATTTTTTAAAATTAACAACCTAATTTTATTATATGCAAATATATGATATTTCTAACAAACAAAATTTTATACTCGAATAGCTTACGCAACACGAATTTCTACTTACGCTGCGTAGTATAAGAGGCAAAACGCGGCGAATTACGTTATAAACATTTTAAAACACTAAAAGAAATATAATTTCAATATAAATGACCGTTAAGGCGAGATTATATCATTTATTGTGAAATCCTGTGCGCCAAGGGCTAAAATTTTAAATATGTATTTGATGAAAGTTAAAATGTTAAAATTTTTTAAAGTTAAAAAGTAATAATTTTAAATATTTATTTTAAAAGATAAAAAATAAATTTTAATTTCATTTTAATCTAAATATGTGATAACATTAAAATATAAACTATTTAGAAAAATAAATTTATGTTCTTTAAATATTTAAAAAATATTGTTTGTGAATAAAATTTATATTTTCGAAAAAGTTAAGAATATATAAAACTAATACCCGAAAAATTCTATTGTTGGTAGTTTTATTCACAAATAATATTTTCTATAAGTTTATTTAGAAAAAATAAAACTATGTTTCTAAATATTTTATATTTTAATGTTATCACATATTTAGATTAAAATTAAGTTAATATTTATTTTTTAACTTTAAAAATAAATTTCATTATGTTTTTGCATAAATGTAAATTATGAAATAATTATCTTATTAGATAATTTTACTAAAGATATTTAATATTTTAATTATAAGTACTTAAAAATAATTTTTTTTAAAAAAAGTATTGTTGTTTACATAATTATATCAAAATACAAATTGATATGGAGTCTTAAATTGAAAAGTAAAATGTAAAAGTTGGCCTTTTATTGAGAATAACTTAAAATTGAAACCTTCAAATTAAAAAGTTACAAATTTAGGTCTTATTGTGACATAATAACAAAAAGTCAAGCCCTACAATGAAATTTTCCCCCATGTCACGTGGATCGTTCACGCGTGATTTGGTTGAGAATTAGTGAAAGTTAAAATATATAGATAAAATTTGGAGTACTCATGTATGATCATTCAATGAGATGAAGTGTGTCTTTTAATGAGATGAAGTGTATTAGTAGTTTTTTTCATTTAGTGTGTTGAATTCGTGACCAATTTGCGATTAAACTTAATTAAACACATTTTAAATTTTATAGAACCTAATGTGAGAGTGATAATGGGTCATATAAACATCATTTGAGACCAAAATTCGGCGTTTTTTTATGTTCTCGGAGTTGGTACTAAAGACCCGATATCTGGTACTAAAATACCAAAAGCTGGTACTATCTTACTCTAGGTCTGGTACCAATTTTTGCAAATGTTGACCAAAATTGAAATAATCCATTTTCGTTGACCAAACATAGGTACTAATTGATTAAAACCAGGTACTACGTAGAAGAAGAAGGGGTACTATTTCTGTCAAAACTGGTACTGTTTTAGTAATCGTGATTTTTTTAATTCTCCATGTCTACCATGCCCGTGGATTGTTCACGAGTGATTTGGTTGAGAAATAGTGGAAGTTAAAATATATAGGTAGAATTTGGAGTAATCATGTATGATCATTCAATGAGATGAAGTGTGTCCTTTAATGAGATGAAGTGTATTAGTAGTGTTTTTTCATTAGTGTGTTGAGTTCGTGACCAATTTGCGATCAAACTTAATTAAACATATTTTAAATCGAAACTGATGTGAGAGTGATAATGGATCATATAAACATCATTTGAGACTGAAATTCGGTGTTTTAATGTGTTCATTACAATTGGTACTGAATACCCAATATCAGGTACTACAACAATATAAACCTAGTACTATCTTACTCTATGTCTGGTACTAATTTTTGTAAATGTTGACCAAAACTGAAATAATCCATTTCCTTTCACAAAAGTAGGTACTAATCGATCAAAAAGAGGTACCACGTAGAAGAAGATGCGGTACTATTATGGCTAAAACAAGTACTATTTTAAGAATCTTGATTTCTCTAATCCTTCATGTCTACCATGACAAGTGGATCGTTCACGCATGATTTTGATGAAAAATAGTGGAAGTTAAAACATATAGGTAGAATTTGTAGTAGTCATGTATGATGATTCTATGAGATGAAGTGTGTCATTCAATGAAATGAAGTGTATTAATAGTGTTTTCTCATTAGTGTGTCGAGTTCATGACCAATTTGCTATTAAACTCAATTAAAAACATTTTAAATCTCATAGAAACTAATGTGAGAGTGATTATGGGTCATATAAACATCGTTTGAGAACGAAAATCGGCATTCCCTTTATCTTCGTCAGAGTTGGTACAAAAGACCCGATATCTGGTACTAAAACACCCAAAGTTAGTACTATCTTACTCTAGGTATGGTACCAATTTTTGCAAATGTTGACCAAAATTGAAGTAATCCATTTTCGTTGACCAAAAGTAGGTACTAATTGATTAAAAACAGACACTACGCAGAAGAAAAAGGGGTGTTATTTCTGTCAAAACTGGTACCGTTTTAGTAATCATTATTTCTTTAATCCTCCATGTTTACCATGCCCGTGGATCGTTCACGCGTGATTTGGTTGAGAAATAGTAGAAGTTAAAACATATAGGTAGAATTTGGAGTAGTCATGTATGATCATTCAATGAGATGAAGTGTGTCTTCTAATGAGATGAAGTGTATTAGTAGTGTTTTTTCATTAATGTGTTGAGTTCATGACCAATTTGGAATGAAAATTAATTAAGCACATTTTAAATCTCATAGAAACTAATGTGAGAGTGATAATGGGTCATATAAACATCGTTTGAGACCGAAATTCGGTGTTTTTTTATGTTCGTCAGAGTTGGTATTGAAGACCCGATATCTGGTACTAAAACACCAAACTCTGGTACTATCTTACTCTAGGTCTGGTACCAATTTTTTTGCAAATGTTGACCAAAATTGAAGTAATCCATTTTCGCTTACCAAAAGTTGGTACTAATTGATTAAAAACATGTAGTACGCAGAAGAAGAAGCGGTACTATTTTTGTCAAAACTGGTACCGTTTTAGTAATCGTGATTTCTTTAATCCTCCATGTCTACCATGTCACGTTGATGCGTGATTTGATTGATAAATAGTGAAAATTAGAACATATAGGTAGAATTTGGAGTAGTCATGTATGATGATTCAATGAGATGTAGTGTGTCTTTTAATGAGATGAAGTGTATTAGTAGTGTTTTTTCATTAATGTGTTGAATTCGTGACCAATTTACGATTAAAATTAATTAAACACATTTTAAATCTCATAGAAACTAATGTGAGAGTAATAATGAGTCATATAAACATCATTTGAGACTGAAATTCGGTGTTTTTTTTATGTTCGTCGGAGTTTGTACTAAAGACCCGATATCTAGTACTAAAACACCAAAAGCTGGTACTATCTAACTCTAGGTCGGGTACCAAATTTTGCAAATATTGACCAAAATTGAAGTAATCCATTTTCAATGACCAAAAGTAGGTACTAATTGATTAAAAACAGGTACTACGCAGAAGAATAAACGGTACTATTTATGTCAAAACTGGTATCGTTTTAGTAATCATGATTTTTTTAATCATCTATGTCTACCATGCCATGTGGATCGTTCACGTGTGATTTGGTTGAGAAATAGTGGAAGTTCAAGCATATAGTAGAATTTGGAGTAGTCATGTATGGTTATTCAATGAGATGAAGTGTCTTTTAATTAGAAGAAGTGTATTAGTAGTGTTTTTTAATTTTTTTTTTATCATTAGTAGTGTTTTTTCATTAGCGTGTTGAATTCGTGACCAATTTGTGATTAAACTTAATTAAACACATTTTAAATCTCATAAAAACTAATGTGAGAATGATAATTGGTCATATAAACATCATTTGAGACCGAAATCCAGTGTTTTTTTATGTTCGTCAGAGTTGGTATTGAAGACCCGATATCTGGTACTAGAATACTATAATTGCGGTACTATCTTACCCTAGGTCTAGTACTAATTTTGAAAATGTTGACCAAAATTGAAATAATCCATTTTCGTTGACCAAAAGTAGATACTAATTGAATAAAAACAGGTACTATGCAGAAGAAGAAACGGTACTATTTTTGTCAAAATTGGTACCGTGTTAATAATCGTGATTTTTTTAATCCTCCATGTCTATCATATCACGTGGATCGTTGACGCGTGATTTGGTTGATAAATAGTGGAAGTTAAAACATATTGGTAGAATTTAGAGTAGTCAGGTATGATCATTCAATGAGAGGAAGTGTAATAGTAATGTTTTTTCATGTGTGTGTTGAGTTCATGACCAATTTGCGATATTATATATCTCATAGAAACTAATATGAAAGTGATTATTAGTCATGTAAACATCATTTGAAACCAAAATTCGTTGTTTTTTTATGTTCGTCGGAGTTGGTACTGAAGAATCGATATCTGGTACTATAACACCATAATTGCGGTACTATCTTACTCTAGGTCTAGTACTAATATTGAAAATGTTGACCAAATTTGAAGTAATCAATTTTTTGTTCTTTCTACAAAGTAGGTACTAATTGATCAATAAGTAGTACTAATGTGCTAGAGTCCAAATGTTCAGTCACAGAACTGGCATTCACATGCCTAACAAATGAATCAAGCTATGTTTTGAAAAAACATGCAAAACGCACTATGAAATTATACATGGACAAGGCATTTGTTTGAGGTATTCAGACAGAATCAGATCCTTTTCAATACGATTTCAAATATGCTTCTGAAATTCAATTTGCATAGTAATACGATTCCAAAGAGGAAACACAACCAATAAAAACATCAAAAAACAAATTTAGCACCAACATACTCAAACAAAAATTAAATAAAACTGAATACTCAATAAGTAGACAAACTACATATCTCCATTCAAATTCCAACTGCCCCATCCTAAAGCCACTCCAAAAAACAACACTGATGCTCAATAAGACATTATAAACCAAATCAGACCAAAACCATTTAAGAAAATATCAATTATCCCAAATTTTAATGCATGCATTAATCAAACACCGGTGGATCCAAATCCGGCAGACCCTCTTTCGGTAGAATCAAGATCATCAACCTCATGACCTCATCACCAAGTTTGTTAGTCTTATATAACAGATGGAGGCATAAGATGGTGTTATAACAGATGGAGGCATAACAAATTCAACATATGCATATCTCTTGGGCTGTCCATACTCCACATTGCCGACAAAAACTGATTGGGGATCCACTTCTTTTCTATTTGCCTGATTAGATGCAGATCTCCTTGAACGGAGCCCATCTCCTGCTCGACTTTCGCCTACATTTTGCGGAGAGCGGCGGCCTCGTCCTCCATCAAACTCTCTCGTTCTCAGGTCGTCCTTTTGGAAAATCCCATAAACTTAACCCACAAATTTGTTCCAATATGAGTTCTTAGCACTTTTTATTTTTCCTGACAAAAATCCAAGAAAACTTCATTCCTTTTGCCCATTTCAAAGAGTGAAAAAAAATATTACGAATTCCTTGTTGATTTCAGCCGAAAATAGTAAGAGGAACCACAATCAAACAAAAATAAAAAATTAGAAGTGATTGAAAACAAGAATCATGTACAGGTTCTTTATGAATTTAAATCCGTAAGTTATATATAATCTTCTAACGCAATGAAATCAAGATGAATATCATACCAAAGCTTTTAGCTTTAATTCAATTACTACGCACCGATATCATCATCACACTAACAGAAAGCTACAGAAGCTATTCTACAATCAACCTCACTGCATTATAAACTCTCCCAAAAACCACTTAGGTGTAATTTCCATGAAAGAAACTCAATGAATAACAAAATTGTACCTCAAATTGAAATAATTGTTTGGGTCCTTCGCTGCTTGCTCCCACGAAAACTGCCAATTCAGAATTCAAGCTCCGTGGGGAGTACGCGCGGCTCAGTTTCCCGAACCTGCGAAACCCGGCACGGCTAAGATCGGGGGCCTGACCTGGTGGACTTGCTGAGGCGAACCGTGGATGCCAAGATCCAGGTCATGTGGCAGAAGGTGAGGCGGAGAATAGGGCCCGGAGAACCGCGACGAAGAAATCAAAATGCGGCGGCGATGTTATAACTTCCGGCGAAAGCGAGGGGAAGGAGGAGGGCGCGGATGCGGAGGCGAAAGCGGCGGCGGGAACGCGGAGAGGGCGTTTCGGAAGAGCGTTTCGGAAGAGGGGTTTTTTGGGCGGAGGAGAATCGNTTCTTCTTTTTCTGACATTTTTCCAATTTTGTGATTTATAAATAAATAAATGAATAATAATAGTATTAGTATTTATATGGGGAGTTGAGAGAAAAGAGAAATATGTATTAGGGAGTGCAGAGAAAAATCAAATGCAATAGGGACTGACAAGGAAGATGAATTGTGAATTAGGAATTTAACAAGAATTAACCGTACTTTATAAGACTATAAGTATGCATTACATGAACTGTAAACTCGTAATGATTAGAACGCCCACACAAATCTTTGCGATAAACATACATATTGATGAAGAAATAATCTCATTTACTTTTCTCAACCATTAATTGAGTCGGCAAATCTGAAAGCACCTCCAATCCTATACTAGCTATTTTAGTTTATTTTTAGGTTATTTTACATGTTTACTACATTTTTAAATTTTGTTTAGAAAAATATATTAAAATAAAATTATATATAAACCATTCATAATTAATCATAAACAAAAAATAATGCAGTTTAAAGTAATGCAATTTAAAAAATCAATGTCATCAACAAACCATAAATCAACCATTCATTAATTATACAAATTAGTGTATTTGAAATTAAAATGAGATCTTCAAATATATAAAATTATATAAATTGAAAGAGGGTGACGGAATAATCTAAAATAGTAACTTTGACCTAGTAATTAAATAAGTTGACTTACCAATTAAAAAATATAGTAAACATTACTTTAATATTTATAAAAAAAAAATAAAAAATATATTATACCTACTTGTTGTAATTCGTGCAATCCAGTTAATAGCACGACTTTCTATATAAATAAAGAGGTATCAATTTTGAAAACTATTTTTTTATAATTATTGCAATAAAAATTTGATTCTTCATATTAATTACGAATCATTGCAATTTTTATTCTTTTGGTAACCAACCATACAACATGTCTTCAAAAAAGTCTACTAAATATATATCGGTTTTAGAAAATATTATTTGAATATGCAAGATAAGATGACAAATATAATTACAAAATAAGAATTGAAAATTAATTATGAAACTTTTATTATTATATTTATCATAATTTTACAATTGAATCTTATTTATCAACATTAATAACAAACCACGGTGATTTCTTATAAATTTAGTGGCCAACCATATACCAAAATATTTTTTTATCGTATCTTAAACAATCATTCAATTGGGAGGATTAGTTTAGAATCCTTTGATATATCAATAACTCAACCGTTTCAGTTTTTCAAAAATTATAAACTCAATTTTCCAAAATATCAAAATAAATATAATTATTTATCTTTAATAACAAGTCAATCTTTATCTTTAATAACAAATCATGTGTTCTCCTGTTTTGTTAGGTATCCAGCCATATGTAGACTGAAATATGCGTGAGAACAAATATGCGTGAGAACATTAAACAAAATAAATTTGGAAATCAATTGAAAAAACTATTGATATAACTACCACAATACTATAATAGAAGAATTGATATCTCAATATTAATAACAAATCCCTATGATTTTCTGTTCATTTCGTAACGAGCCATATATAAAAAATCATCTATTCAAGGTATTCAAAAATATCCTTTGATTTGATCAATAACTACACCAAACCAATTTATTAAAAATTCAAATTGTGATTAACAATACCATAACGAGTCTCATATAAATTAATAGATTAGAAAGAAAATTTAAAATATTTATAATATTATAATTATAACAAAAAATAAAATAATATGGATGTAACTAAAAATTAATAATTTTTTTAGCTTTGAATAATATAAATTAAAATCTTTGTCAATTAAGTGTTGGTTATAATATTTGCTACAATATTTCAACAATAGTCTGACTTATTTAGAAATCGAAATTATATATTATAACAAGGTATGAGTAAGAGAAGATAGAGGGAGAGAAGTATTTTGTGAGTATTACTTATTGATAATATTTGAATATGTTAAATTTTCATTATCTTTTATTAAAAACAAGATCTAAAATGACATCAATTTTATAACGAGTGAAATAACATATCAATAATGTATTAAATTATTATATATCACAAAATAAAAGAAAAAAGTAATTATACAAGACTATTTTTATACTAATCAATATTCCATCATTGCTTTAATGGATGCACTTACAATTATTGTCTCCTGATCACACGGGCTACGTATTAGTAAAATAAAATTTGAAGCTAAATAGAGTAATTTTCCTTTACTATAAAAATATAGATCTCAACTGCCTAACTTATTTTTTTCTCAAACATAAATAAACCCAAATAAATATATTTATTATGGGCCTACTCCTTGTATTTTTCTTTTGAGAAAATTACTCCATGCACTAACCAGAACATTGAATGTTGCATATATATTAACATAATTTTTTATTTGCGAACATACAAAATCTGATGTAAATATTTGCGTGGTACAAGATCTCTCAAATTTTAACTTACCTTTTTAAAAATAATTATTAAGATAGTTACATGTAGTTGGTAACTATCCAAATTAANGTCGGGTCGAGGTTTTTTAGATCGAATTCTGAAGTTGAATTGTCTAGACCCGATTCGCCATCATCCGGTAGATGTGTCCTCGATTTTCTTTGTGCTTCGGCGACGGAATAGTGTTGAATCCACCACCGTGTTCAGTGGGTAGAAAATCACTGAAAATAGCAGTTATACCACAGTTCATTATTATGATGAGCGATTATGATATTATAGATGTTTTTATTTCTTGCGTATTATTTTGAATTTAATCACTTGAGTCGGAGATGCAGTGGCTTCTTTTTTCGATCCTTGCTATTGTTCTTTTAAGAGACAACGATGGACTATGACGGCAGCGCGTCCCCTCTCTTCTCCTTGCCAGCGGGGAGGTCAAGTTGTAGATGACGAAGGCGAGGCCCGAAGCTTGGGCTCATGGAAACGTCAGCAATATATGTTGCGTGTATAGCCAGTATATTTCAGTATATATTTTCATCGACCCGTGCTTCATATGTCTCTCATCTGGCCCGTGTTTCATTTGTTTTTATACAATTGATAGGCTTCTGATTCTTTGATTTTGTAGAATATATTAGCTTTTGTTTGGAATCGCCCTGTTGTGATCAATGGCAGTTTTGAGTTTGCATTAGAGGTGTTTAGTCGTTGTTCTTTACCTGATGCATCTAGTTTTCATCGATAGTGTGTTGTACTGTTTGTTTCCCACACACCTCTATTGTTATAAGTAGTTTTTGATATGTATATAGTCCACAATTTTATTAAAAGGTATAGCTTTTCTATTACAATTACTATTTTTATGCTTTTTCTATTCATGAACTCATTTCTATTCAATTGATTGGCATTTTTTTTTTCAAGTCACTGACCTTTGCATTTGTATCATATACTCTACGTACACTAAAATAGTTTATTAAAATAATGATTGATCAGTTTATGATATGTATACAACATGTTATATATTGAAGAAAAATCCAATCATCACAATTGCAGTTAGATAAAAATGCTATATACCAAAATATAAACGCTATATATAATGTCTATTCAAAACACCTGAGAGCTTAAAAACTTTACTGACTATAAACGCAACATATAGTTCGTTGTAGCTACAATTTTTATGAAAAGCAACATATGGTCCATGAAAAGATGATGGGGCAAAAGCTTCATATTCCCGTCACACCTATATATTTGAAAGATGATGTAGTTGGAAATTCAAATTCTTTCTCTTACTATTTCGTAGTGAAACATCCTATTTTATAGGATATATAACCTTGCCATAGGGTTGTAAACGAATTAAATCAAAGCGAATACTCAAATATTCAATTCGGATTCATTAAAATATTCGAAGATTTGAATTCGTATTCGATTCGTTAACGAACTCATTTTTTTATTCCTATTCGATTCGTTTAGAATATTCGAACATATTCGATTCGATTCGAAATTCGTTTTCAAAAAAATTATAACTAAAAAATATTATAATTACAAAAATAATTTTTATTTTTCATATATTTTTAGTAAAATTTTGTTAATTTATGATGTTTTTACTTTTTATGTTATAAAAATAGTAGGAATATAACAATATATATATACATATATATTATAAATAAAATGTATACTATATATAATTTATAAAATTTATATAATTATTGTTAACGAATCGAATATTCGAATTTTGAATCGAATATCTACAAATTCGAATTCGAATTCGTTTAACTTTCGAATATAAAACACTATTCGTATTCGAATTCGATTTCGAATTCGAATCACGAATATTGAATTCGAATATCGAATCGAATAAAAAAAAATTGATTTGTTTACAAGCCTACCTTGCCATATATAATTATTATTTTTTTTTTCCTGTTTAATCAAAAGTTCCCATAACTTATGCAATTTAAGGGGAAGACAGTTACATTTTATTTGGTTACTGAAAATCCCATAATACGGTGCATCTTTGCAATTAATTAGCATAGAATTTGTAAAAATGCAAATAAAGTTAGCCCAATTATAAAATTATAATTTTTTCCAAATCATGTAATATACATGAAAATTCACCTTCACTTTTCCTCATTTTCTCGTAATATCCTATCGTTTAAATAAATCTATTTCAACACCTTTGTAGCTGAAACGAAAACCTTGCATCATCAAATCATTCAACTTAAGATTTTTTTTAGGAAAAAAAAAAAACCCACAAAATGGCTCACGTTGGAGACATGATTTTTCTATTTGCCTTTGTATAGTAGGATTTATTGAGCTAACAACTGATAACGGGCATAAATGAGGAAGGAAATTGACATGGTTCGAACTCATAAATAGCACTCAGCAAGTTCAATCTGAATTCATAAATATAAGGATAATATATACAACGAATGGTGGCACCAAAGGTTGCATGAGGAATAAGGAACAGCTCCAATCAACATCACGTTTTGAACTTCTGACACAGAAAATCAAATATTTTCAATCACATCAAAGCATCACCTGCTTGTACGTACGTTTTTATATACACAGGGTTGAACCTACAAAGTAGGATGATACCCGATTGCGGCATTACCTTCAACCCTCTGCACAACCCTTCTCACATTCCACTCTTGGCAAAACTCGAGCGCAAGCCGAAGAGCGGTCCCAAGCCCCAGCACAACAATCACTCCTGCACAATATTGGATATGAGGCTAACTGTAGAGTGAATACATGCAATCAAGTGAACCAATTTCCCTTTCTTTTCCATATTATTAGTCGTGGGGAAAAGTGAAATAAAATACAAGTAAAACGCGATAAGAAAAATTTTGGTAGGAAAAACATAAAACTCGATAATTCTGGGCATTTGTTGTATTCAACTCTTGTGATTGAATCTATTACCAAAGTGAAATAAAATACAAGTAAAATGCAATAAGGAAAATTTTGGTAGGAAAAACATAAAACTTGATAATTCAGGGCATTTGTTGTATTCGACTCTTGTGATTGAATCTATTACGAAAGTCTCATGTGAACACGATTGTATATATTACGAAAGTCATCATGTGAACACTTTCAAGTACCGATAATGATGTTGACTGGGAGTGCTGAAACACCAAGGGTTATGGAAATCAGCACGTCCAGCAACAGGCCGCCTATGAGAATCGAAAAGGCCACCCACAGAGGACTAAAACAGCGCTGTACAAAGTAGATAATCGATAATAAATTTGGTAAACCTTAAAACACAAAATTTAAGTGCATGTGAGATTAGAAAAATATGGATTTATTACCCTTTCTTGTTCTTGAACTCTTACGGCTGGATCAACCCTCCAAACCCAGTAACTTGTCTGTGACACAGTAAAGAATCAAGTCAAAGATTTATTTATGACAAAGTCGAATTTGCATTAGAAGCAAAACAGCTTAATCCGTCAGTGAAGAGCAGGATTTCTGCATGGTTCGAGCCCACAATCTTTCTACAAAAACAAAACGCAACACAATGTTCAATTTTGTAGGCATATGTGAAGGGCATATTTAGTCACTACTCGGATATAACCATCAAGGATAAGAGTTTGTAATCAGCTCAAGAAGTGGATTTTCAGTATGCACCACCAGTCATCAGTGAAATAGGTTATTCTAATAATCAAAGAAAAAGTGTAGCCAATCATTCAGATCCCTCAGCCATACTTATCAAATGCTAAACATCCCAAATTAAATAATAACAGGACTTGCCTGGGAATCAGGAGGTGCAACATTCGAAGCAATTTGTCTGCAACAGAGTAATTGAGTCTCATTATCATAACTCATGGGTTAACATAAAATTGCTCAGCAAACATTTAGGCACTTAACTGGCATATCTCACATTTATTTGAACCTCGAGTGGCAAACCATTTGACTATACAAGACTGGTGTGCTTTTGCGAGACCACCTCGACACTGACATCCAAGATTGATCAAGGCTTCTTCATTTTCCTCTTGGCATACTCTGCAAAGGGAAGTATCACAATAATCCATTAAGAAGGTTTCATCAACTGTTACCAGAAGATGTTTTGAAGAAAGGCCTGTTGATGTACAGCAAAAATATTACTTTTAAATGAAACAACGTGTTGCAACTGCAATGAGTTCAGAATGATTATTTTCAATAAAATTGATGATGGAAATAAAAAAGAAAAACATTTATATAAAAAAAAAAAGTAAGTATAAAGCCTTCTCAANCAGTCTGGCAAAAAAAAAAAAACAAGTGAGCAAGCAATTCAACTCTAACAACAGTTAACTGTAACAACAGTTACCCGATGAACTCAGGCCATTACAGTGGTAAGCAAATGGGTGGTATGGATAACTGATAAGTTTTCAATGGAAGTTATAGAGAAAGGAGGAAATACAAACTGAAAGCTAGGTACTAGTATTCTCTAAGACGTCAGCCTCCCTATAGTGCTCAACTATATACTGCCTAAATCTTGACTAAAAAATAAATAAATAAATAAATAAAACAGCAAAAAACAAAAAACAAAATAAAAACAAAGAAAAGGAAAAACAAAACAAAACAAAGAGGCCATGCTTATGCCAGGAAAGTTCAGAACTTTCTTCTGTCAGGCAATCGAAATTCTAATGCAGTGGAGATAGAGACCTCATTAATACAAGTCACTTAAAGCTTGTGGGCAAACAGTTTTGCAGGTACAGATCCCAGCCTCGTGAATGATGTATAGCAACACATTTCTCTACTCACCTGCTACTAATTTCTGCAAATCCACCATTGAACACCCTTATTTTTGGAACTATTCTTCAGTGTTATTTCTTCCAGCTAGGTTTAAACTATTAGAACATAAGAGGTTTGCACATCCCCTTGACATATACTAAATTTAAATCACGATCCCAAGCAATTTGGCAGCCAAGTCAGAAAAAGCTTTGTGGGATATGAAACGTCTTAAGTGCATTGGAACAATCAAATGCGTTCAACCTCAAGCATCACACCAGATACCGACACAACCATCATTTCTGTGAGCAGAATTGAAAGAGTTCAGATAAGTAATTGCTACGAAACTCTTTCTACAGTAAAATAAACGCATTATTGAATGATAATATGTTAGGCTAGAGGTCTTTCCATAGTCTGATGAAGAAAATTGTAATCCAGGGGAATAGTTTGTTTCGAACTTCAACACCAGAACTCCCATTTGTTTGCAGAGGGACAGAAAGAGAAACAAGATGAAGACGAACCACTAGAATCTGATTGGCCAGAAGTAACATGTGTCTTTTCTAAGTAAAAGGCATTAATTAAGTCAACTAAAATGCAACAGCAGTTCACCAACCTACCACATTGTGCATTCATTCATAATGATTTATACCGAAGAAAATGTATTTTTGCAGGCTAGTCTGCCTTCACTTTTGGTGGGCCTCCTTTGTATGGTGAATTTGTATCCTTATATGTTATAGCAGTTTGCGAAGTAGGTCTGCAGTCGATAGCAATTTATTATGAAGACCAGAAGCGTCGGGTTATGTTTCAGTGAAGTAAGGGATATTTACAACTTCTCTGGTCTCCAAATATTAAAATTTGAAGTTTAGAAAAAGACAAAACTATCAATGTGATAAAACACACCATAAAAGCTAATATGGTCTCTTAGTTCACTTTTATTCACATTGAAAGATAACTGGATCCCTGTTGCATAAGAGCTGAGTTTAGAAATGATTTGAATTTTGCAACCTTTCTAAGTTTATATTTCCCCTATACGTTACAACCTTTTAAACCTCAGATGATATGTGTTGACTTAAGAAGATTTGAAAGATATAAATCTAAGTCTACTTCACCACTATGTTAATACAACAAAAATTTCTCTTTACTATATATCAATAAATCTAAGCTACGTGAGTATAAGTTTGGACCATTATTTTAATATTGAGACCTGATGTGTTCTCCTTTTCGTCATTATGTGCGCCTTCTATCTACATATAACTTCTGCACTTTCGTACTCTCAAAGCTAAAGGATTTCAAGAGAAGTACTCACTAATTATTGTTACCTCGGACCAAGGACCACCTTACCGACAGAGACCTATTATTCCTTAATTTGATGATGCCTCAATTTGATAAACTTAACAGGTGAAATAGAAGAACATTCCGGTTCCACCTGCAGTTGGATATAAGTTTGTCGTACATACAGCAGAAAGTAGATAGGGAAAACTAAAATTTCTATTCTCGTATAAGAGTGAGGAAAGACAAAGCATAGTTGATCTGTCATATCACTAACTAGTCGAGACAAAGTCACTAGGCAGAAAAATGCCAGTAAGTTCAGCCAGTAGAACCATTTTATAAGTTGACTGATACAGAATATAGACTTCATCTCAATGTAGAATTATTTACCAAGCAAGTGCACTCAAACATTCTGCCCGTTTTCCTATACTAAGTCATTGTAAGCCTCTTCTGGACAAGGGTAAGAAATGACGTTCGAGAATGGAAAGCAGGAAGAACAAACACACATCAATTTAATTGATGAAAAATGTAAAAGAAGACGAAGATACTGCTAGTTAATTCTTGGGGAAACGATTATAATTACTTACTAGACCATGAATATATGTATGTGAGCATACATATGACACATATAATTGTATGAAAGTGAAACTGCAGCACTTCACTTCCAAAAAGTTAACTTGTTGGCATGGACGAGCCGTGGGCGTGCATGCATGGACGAGCTAAGGATGTTGGCATGGACGAGCTGCTAAGTTTCCCATTCATTTTCTGTTTATGTTTTACAATTTTGTGTTCTTAGTCGCATTTCTTACTTATAGTATCGCAATCTTCATTTTGTTGTTTTATTTGTTACTTTCTGTGCCACATGTCGGCTAGAGATTAGTTAGTTATTTTCTAACAGTCATGTAAATCGTTAGGGGTGAAGGTGTATAGATCTTCGTCTTCATATGTATACTACAGGGATTTTTTAAGATGAAATAAAAATTCTCCCAGAAAATTCCCAAATCCTTTGAACAAAAATGGCGATAAACTCCTAGCCTTACATGGTAAAGGTGAATCGAAACTGCTGCCATGGTGCGAAATGAGAATTGCAGAGAAGAACAAGGAAAAGAGGTCGCGATGAAAAACAACTACTCCAGAGATTCAGTTATACTCTCTCTCCATGGCTGGGATCATCCTGGCATGATATTGGTTACAAATCAGCTCACTGGAAATAATTATCTCCATTGCAGTCGGGCTATGAGGTTGGTGCTCGGAGCTAAATCAAAGCTCGGTTTCATCTACGGGACCGTTGAAGTTCCAGAGCAGAACTCAGGCGATTACGAACAATATCAGAAAGTTTAGAGTTTATGGTCATGGCTTTTAAACTCTATTTCCAAGGAGATTGTCGAGGCATTCATTTATGTCAAAAGCTCAAAACAACTATGGGACGAGAGATATGGGGAAAGCAATGGACCTTTCAGGTATCGTTTGCAGAAGGAGATAGTAAATTTCACCAAGTACAAGGTACATTGTCTATTACAGCTTATTCTACAAAGCTGAAATGCATATGGGATGAATATGCTTGAAACCTGAATGTATGTGTGGCTCTGGGAAGGCCTTTTCTGAAAATGAAATGGAGATCAAATTGATGCAATATCTGATGGGATTGAGGTTTTTGAGCAAATTAAAAACCAGATACTCTTAATGGACCCCTTACCTACCTTTAACAGAGCTTATTCAATGGCCCTAAAAGTGGAGAAACATAAATCAGTGCATAATATAAGTTCTGATTCCTTTGAACCTTCAGCATATTTGTAAAAGGTAGTTATGGAAGAACAGGAGGTAGAGGTAGCACAGGAGAGGTTCACATGGAAAGAATAATATTGGTGTAGGAAGAGGTAGGGGTGGCATGAGGTTGACCAAGGAAGAGAGCCAAACTGGTTTGTAGTCACTGTGGGTTTAATGGACATGAAGTGCAGGGTTGTTTCAAATTGAATGGATACCCGAACTGATATAAGGAGCTGAGAGATAAAAGACTGAATCAAACAGTAAATTTGGTGGAAAATGATGAGATGGGAAAGGGAGATGGTGATGCTAAGTGAGCTGAATGAGTCAGATAATAGCTCAATCATACAAAAAGAGATTGCTAAGTCATTCATCAACTGATATTAGCTCAATCATACAAAAGGAGATTGCGAAGGTCAGGAGCCTTTTCTCGCTATGTGGATTACTCAGGTAACAAAGATAATTATGCGTTTTATTTGCTAGAAAAATTGAGTAGAGGAAGTTGGATAGTTGACAATGGTTCTAGTAAGCACATTTGCTCAGACAAAATGTTGGTTTGCAGCTCTTCAAGATTAAAGTTCTTATTACTATAATTCTACCTGATGGAACAAAAAATGAAGTGTCTGAGATAGGAGAAGTTAGACTTAAGAATCCTATACACTTAAGGAATGTGTTGTTGGTTCTAGAGTTCAAATACAACATGTTGTCTTTGGGACAACTTGTAGTTGATGAGAGGTTGGACTTTGTGTTTACTAATAAAGAATGTCGACTGCAAGACCTTGAAGGAGGAGACATAATTGCAACTGAAACAACACAGTTGGTAGTTGGTGGCTTGTATGTGAATGAAGGTGAAGAGTTTTGTTCTAGACTAAAAGCATCTGAAGTTGTGGTACAAAACTTGGACATGGTTCAGTTTCTTGTTTAAAACATATACATTTCTGAAGTCAAGTTGTAATAAGGAACAAATTCACTTGTGTGATACTTGTCATAAGTCTAAACAGTGTAGATTACATTTTGTTTCAAGTCACATAAGAGTAAGAGTACGTGCAAGTTTGATTTGACTTATGTGGATGTTTGGGGGTCTTACCATGAGGATTATGTGATAACCACATCTTATATGTCGACCGTAGTTAATGATTATACAAGAACTACTTGGATATTTCTAATGAAGTACAAGTCCGAGGTGGTTGATCATATAAAATTCTTCATTAACATGATCAAGGTGCAGTTTGGAATTGACATTAAAAAGATAACATAATAAGTGGATTCACAGGGAAAGAGTTTGAATAGATCATGAAAGAAAATGGAAATATTGCATCAAAGGTCTGTGCTTATACTCCACAAAAAAATGGGTTTTGGAAATGAAGCATATATCTATTTTTGAAAATTGCAAGATCCTTATCTTTTCAAAGTAATTTGGACGTAACACTTTGGCATTTTTCATTATTAGTTGAAGTTCACATAATCAATTCACTTCCCTCATAAGTCGTAGATGGAAAACTCCTTATGAATTGTTGTATGGGATTGTTCCAAGCTATGAGAGGTTTAAGGTATTCGGTTGTCTTTGCTATGCTTCTAAGAATGAACTTCACAAAAGAAAATTTGATGCTAGAGTTGTACCTTGTGCATGTTTGGGTTATGTCGGATATAGGGGATGCTTGGATATAAGATTGCTTGATTTTGTTTGGATTTTTGTTTTGGTATGGTTAGTTTTGAAAAAAGTGGTAAGGTTAGTAAGTGGAATTTTGAGTTTCTATTAAAAATATCTAAAATAAAATAATTAAAGTTGATTTGATGTAAAAGTAAGAGAGAGATGATGTTAAGTGATGATTAGTTAAAATTATGTGAGTGGATGGATAGTGAATTAAAATTGATGTAATATGTAAAAATAATTAGTGATATTATTTAATTATATTGATAATTTCGAGGATAGCAGAGTTGAGTTAAAATTAAGTTAGATTTTAGTTAAAAAAAAGTGATTGGTAAAAAATGATTGAATTTTTGTTAAAAAAAAAAAATTGTATCCAAGCATGCTCGTACACCAAGAAGGTTTTAATATCAACAATTGTGGTGTTCTATGAGGAGGTATGAGTATATAAAATTGAGAGGAATCCTTATGGGAGCATAGATAAGTTCAAAGCATGGCTTGTGGAAAAGGGCTATACCTTGAAAGGGAAGGCATTGATTTCATGGATATTTTTCTCCAATAATCATTGCTTTAGCTACAAAGCTTTAGCTACAAAGCATGCTTAGCAATTGCACAATATTGACATAAACAATGCTTTCCTACAAAGCTTCTTGGATGAAGAGGTTTACATGTTGCCTCCAAAAGGGTATACAAAGCTAAGTTGGGTGAGGTTTGTCTTTTGAAAAAGAGTTTGTATGGGTTTACGCAACGAAACATAGAGTTTTATGATAAACTCTTGGCTTATGGTCTTACCAATCTTTTAGTGATCACTGCCTCTTTATAAAACACGAAGGTGATAATTTTTTGACACTTCTGTTATATGTGGATGATGTGCAAAATAGTCTATCAGTCTATCAGACATCCAACAACTCAAACATTACTTGAAGGAGTTGTTTGCCATCAAGGATCTTCGTCATGCTAAATACTCGCTAGGCCAGTTGTTGCATAATAGTTGATCCAGTTTGTCCAAACTCCCTCTCAAGCTCATTGTTCATTAGTGAGTTGTTGCTATACACTGGGCTAAATATGATCAGCCGCCGTGAAGATAGAGCGGACATCAAGACCTCCGTCTGATGTAGGAGCACAACATTTATCCAAAGAAGCCGCAATTCTCGCAGAAGTCTTAATATTACCTAACAAAATTCAGTTACGGCAAGCCTTGTGAATAACATCAAGCAATGAGGTCGGCCATCTATAAATCATCATGCTGCGGACTACAGAGCTAGTAATAACCGAATTCACTAGGCAGAAGAGTGTCCTTACCAAGGCTTTCATTTTCAGAGAATACGGTCACATAAGGCCTTAAAATGGACACGTCGAGGGATGCCCTTGAAAATAGGGGCACTTTTTGTTTGTTTCATCAGGCTTAGGCTTAGCCTACAATCCACTCGCCTAATGTGATCCCGATTGGGTAAGGTGTGCCCTTACTTGAAAGTTATTGACAGGGTACTGTATTTTTTTTTCTTGGGACATGCACTGATTTCATGGAAAACCAAGAAGCAGAAACCGGTCTCTCGCTCCTAAGCCGAGGCTGGATAACGTTCCATGGCTACAACGGTTTGTGAATTACAATGGTTGGCCCATCTAGCTCATGAGTTGCATGTTAACATTCATCATCCAATCCTTCTTTGGTGGGATAACAAAGCGGCCCTTCATATCACCTGTTTTTTCATGAGCGGACGAAGCACCTAGATATTGATTGTTACGTTGTGCGTATGGTTTTGTCTTGCCGCAACATATTTCCTCTTTTCGAGGCCACCTGACCTACTCACACTAAAGCACTCAGGGGAAAGGATTTTCATCGTCTTTTGGGCAAGTTGGGATGTGTCTCCACTACACATTCCCACTTGAGGAGGGGAGCAGGGGGAGGGGGGAGGGGGTGTTGGCATGGACAAGCTATATGAGTGCATGCATGGACAAACTAAGGATGTTAGCAAGGACGAGGTGCTGAATTTCCTTTTTTATTTTTTAATACTCTTCATTTTGTTGTTTTATTTGTTACTTTTTTGTGCCCCGTGTCGGTTAGAGATTGGTTGGTTTATTTTCCAACGGTCATGTAAGTTGCTAGGGCTGAAAGTTTATATATCTTCGTCTTAATTTTTATGCTCGAGAGATTCTTTAGATGAAATAAAAAATCTCACAAAAAACTCCCAAATCCTTTAAACAAAAATGGCGATGAACTCCTAGCTTTACAATGTTCATAATATTCCCAATAACTCATAAACAATCTACATATTCAACATAGAAGCTATTGCACGCAGTATGCAACTAGAAAAGTGTGAGCTTCCACCTCCAAAATCAGAGAACACAAACACTATTACCTGTTTAGGCATTCGGTCTAAATACAAGACAGCCTCATACAATACCAAATTTGTCAAACCTAATATTTTCTCCAAGACAACCTAAACCCAAATCCACAAATTTTAGACAACAAGGACGAACCAAATAAAGAAACACAGCAAAAGAAAGAGAGAAACGCTTTAATTAGCCAATTCTTAAGAAAGGGAATTCGTACCTGCACTCTTCATGGGAAGTTGAACTTCTCTCCAGTTGAGGCTCACCCTTGTTGGCACAGTCCACGACCACCAAGTCAATGGTTTTCTCAACCAAGTCCTGGGATTGACCTACAGATGCAGCCTTCGCTAAAGCGCCGCCGACGACTATGTTTACCCGCTGCTTTTCGACATCATCATCGGAAAATTCGCCTGGCATAGCAGCACATCCACCATTCCGCATTTATTTCAGTGAGGAATTAACCAACAATTATCCAGAAACGTATTGAAGAGTGGTCTTCTTAACTTGAGAAGATTTCGAAGTTGCAATCGGGAAGGTAAAAGGTGAAGAAGATGAGCGACAAAAGGAGAAAAAGAATAGAGAAGTTGAGAATTTGTTGTAGGTTGCATCACAAAGCTAGACGGGTGTACAACTGTGGGGCCGACTTTTGGAGTCTTATTTTATTTATATTTTTGGCCATTTTATTTCTTTAGGATTGAAGTATTTACAATGCTTGGGTTCAATCAAAATAATTTATATGTTAGTTAGATAATAGGCTCGGTCTAATAAATTATATTTTCCAATTGAAATGTAAATAGACTGAGTCCCGCTGATGTGACAGAAAAA